TATTATCGTGTTTTGGTAATCTGGGCTCCATTTCATCAGATTCCAAAGACTTTTGGCCCTAATGCTTTGGCCAGCTCATAAATAACTCAACTTTTGAAAAACTGCATAACCTGCATAACCTATTTTGACAGCGAGGAGCGATTTTCGCAGGTCTATTCTGTCAAACGGCTGCCAGTTAGTCGATTCACGCTTAAAATTCTAGCTAAAAAACATTATGGGAGAAATATGAGAAAAATGTACTTTTTCTTGTTTTCCCCAGGTGTTCGAAGTTAAGAAAAGTACATACTACAAAATAAGTCATACTCTACCATTTAAAGGCCGCCCACTTTTAGCTTTTTCCATTTTGGAGGGCAGGGGTGTCTATTGTTGTTCGTCGGAATGGAAAGGGGTTGTCTCTCTTTCTATCTGTCTGTCCATTTCAGTGTTCTCGAGTTCCTTTTGATGTCTTTTGATGGCTAGCCCCCTTAGGGAGCATCTACTCTTTCTTTCTTTCTTTTCCTCACATCTCTCTCTCTCTCTCTCTCTCTCTCTCTCTCTCCGAATTTCTGAAGATTTACCGTTGGCCCACCCACTAATTCGAAAAAATAACCATTGTTTTCCATCCTTCCCCACCTGCCAGTCAAAAGGGATATTCTACGAAGCTTGACAGCCAACACGAATAACTACCAATTCGTTCTTGGAAAGATTGGGAATCTTGGAAGATTACAGTTCGAGTTGATCTCCAGTTTGCTCAGTCTCAGTCTCTCCAGTTGTCAAAAACTGCATAACATAAATACGACTTTTACAGCCATTTTGAACCCTCTAATTGATTCCCTGGCAGCCAAAAAATCTATTATATCGGTATCTAAAGTTTTAATGCGTTTTATAACGTAGTTCGGCAAATCGCCAGCCCGTTAGCGGACAACTTACTTTCGCGTCCCTACCAGGGTTGGTCATTTGAATATCCGTATCCAGCATCGGTACCCATTTTCGTACATGCGGATTAGAGTGAGGGAGCGGCAGGCCTCCTCAGGCTTTCTTGGGCCGAATTGCATTTCCGCGCCTGCCGACGCCTGGCGGAAGCCTAAGGATTTACGCAGGCTTTTTATGCAATGCGTGAAAACATGTTAATCTGGTTACTGCATCTAAAACGTTGGTATCTTTTGTCGTAATAACAAATTACAAGGATGCCGAAAGTGGGAAACATATAGGCAAGATATCAGGAGAGGCAATTGCATCCCCCCTCCGTTTGATCCGACTCTTGGCTTTTGCGTATCCGCGTGCTATTAACGTATCGTGCCGTAGGATTCGTCAAAAACAGTACCCCTAACTTTGTAGAATATTTTTGAACCCAATACAGCTCTTCGACCCCCGGAAGTTTCAAAAAATTCCTTATTTGTTCCGCAAAAATTCGAATATTATACGACTTTACATAAAATTTCCAGATAAAGCCTGACTAATTAGAGGTCAGGCGTGCTTTGCATAGCCCAGGCTCAGCCTAGGCGATGCAAATTAAAAAAGCCTGAGGAAGCCTAGGCTAGCCTAGGCTTTAGCCTAGGCCTCCCTCACTCTAATGCGGATATATATCCGTATCCGTGAACCTATGCTAATTTGGGCAGATACGGATACTTTGGTATCCGGATATGTATCCGTACCCGTATCCAAAATTAGCATGGCTTTCCCGGATACGGGTATGGATACGGATACTACCCGGTATCCGTTGCGGATTCTTTGGATACTTCCGGTTTTTTATGCAAATCACGATATTCAGCTTGGTTTTGTATGGAAACGATCAACATTAAAGCCTAGATTCACCATCACTCCTCAGCCGCATCGAAAACGGGATAAAAAGGGGTATATCCGCAATTCTAACAAATCCCCAATTTGCCAACGCTTTAAGATCCAAGTATACGATACGAAGGCGAGCCCCCAGACGACAGAACCACCTAAGAAAACTTCAAAAATAAAGGAAATCTTCTTGTGCACAATTGTGCTGTCCAATCGGTGGATGTAACATCGTAACTGCATAGTGCTTCGATTTAGACTTAAACAAAATATCTTGTCGTAACGACTTCCATACAAAACACAAATGAATACCGTGATTTGCATAAAAAACCGGAAGTATCCAAAGTATCCGCAACGGATACCGGGTAGTATCCGTATCTGTATCCGTATCCATACCCGTATCCGGCAAAATTCATTCTACGGATATGGATACTATCCGTATCCATTGTGGATATTATCCGTATCCAAAGAACATATGCTAATGCGGCGGGTGTGGATACATACCCGTATCCGGATATTATCTGGATAGGATCCGGATACCAAATGGACCAACCCTGGTCCCTACCCTCCAACTTGACTTGCCAATCCCTTTAAAGGCGCCGGAATAGGCTCGGCCGGGTGGTGCAGCTATCCAATTACGCCATATTAATCAAAGCCAAGCCTACGATTCATTTATCGGACCAGATATCGGAATATGTGCTCAATTCCTGACTTCCATCTCCCTTTAAAATCTTCAGAAATTCATCGTAATTTGAAATGACTAGCAGACAGCGTGTAAAAATTTCCTTTTTGCTCTCTGATCCCGAAATGGCGTGCCGTAGCCATTTTTTCAAATTTGTGTAGAGGGCAATCGAATCGCGGGCCATTTTGGGGCCTAGGATTTTGGCCTTTTGGGGGGAGAATGACCTCTCTGTCTGTCTGTCTTTATAGAGAGAAAGGTCCCATAGGTGTCCATATGGAGAGAGAGAGAGAGAGAGAGAGAGAGAAAGAGAGAGCGAGAGAAATGCGCCCACTTATCCAGATTGGAACCTCGAACCCTGCCACCTAAAAGAGGGGCCTAGAGGGCGGTATATCTTTTATGGGTGGAAAAGGGCAGTGAGCAGGACCAGTAGAAGTGCTTCTCCTGCTATTTTGACCTTCAGCTAATCCAAATAAGCGAGCCCGAGGGTTGCGAGAGCCCAGCTATTGCGTTTTTCACGTTTTACGGCGTTGGCGACATACACGGGGCTCTCTAGCAGAGATTCTTTAGGAACTCGGTGTCCACCGTCTCAATTGGATGACAAATATGCAAATTGGCAGAGAAACTTTGGGATTTAGAATTATTTTCTGAGATATTCGTGCGCTAATAAGGAAACTACCGGTAAAGAGGCTAGCTAGCAGAAACCTTTAAGGAAAATCGCCGACTTTTGAGTACGTGCCTTTTGCAAGCCAATGCAGTTAATCGACCCAAAAGCTGGTCTTCAGCTCGACAGTTTGATTCATATTATTTGCAAATGCATACCCGGTAGAAATCGGGACCTCTACCTCTACGGGCAATGCATGGCAGATGAATTGAAGGGGGCGTTTTAAAGGGCCGGGACAGAAGAAAAGAGAGAGAAAAGGGTACCTGGGTCGAGAATGACCAGCACCATGCATATTAGATAGAAGCCGATCGGGCGGGGAGGGGGAATCTATGAACACCTAACCCTTCCCTCCCCCCTGCTCCTCGCTGCTCGGCTTCCAGTAGACTACTTCCGCCATTTGTCTGCTGAAATAGCTTGAATTCCACTTTTTGCCGGGCATTAAGAACTTTATTGGCTGCCAACTGGGACGATGTTAAAATTCCTGGAGGCTAGTCTTTGGGAAAAACAGTAGAAATGACCTAACCGCTCAGCTCATCTTCCCATAGACTAGTTCCGCCCTTTGGCCAACAAATGGTTTGAATTCCGCTTTTACAAGGGCAATTCCGACTCAACTGACATGCAACACAGAAATTGGCCACTTTTTGAGGGCTTGATAGCAAAGATCCTTTAGGAAAATCAGTAGGAATGACGTAACCGTGCAGCTCACTTCCAGTAGACTTCTTCCACCATAGCAAATACCCTGAATTCCACTTTTTCAGGGTCTGTTGGACTGGACGGGAGGCAAACTAGCAGCGATTCTTGAGGAAATCAGGGTTTGTTAACCTTTATAGGTTTTTCAATAATCTTGGGCAAGCTAGCAGGGCTTTTGGGAAAAATTAGGTTCAGAGAAGTCGTTAAAATTCAGAATTCTAAAAAGTGGGCAAAATAGCTGAGTTCCTTGAGGAGAATCTGGATTCGGTTCCCGTAACCGTCTAGTTTTTGGACTAATCTAAGGCAAGCTAGCAACGATTTTTTAGGAAATTTAAGAATTTTGAGTTTTTTAGACCATAAATCTCCTTTGTGGCTCACATTCTCAATTCCCCGGCCTTCGACGTCCCTTTAAAACGCTTCCGTTTATTTTTGGGATTTTTAAAGCCTGTTTTCCCGCGATCTGCCATGCAAAAAACATCTTCTCGGGCTTATATTCGTCTCAGTAAGCCTGGAAGCTATGGCTAGAGCTTAAAAAAAGGAGAAGACTCAACCCCTCAAATAAACCCCCGGGTTTTTGAGGGTGAAATTCTGGCTAGAAGAGCGGAGTTCCGTTCCCCCAGCTGATACCCCCCTCGAAACGAACACGCGCCCAATTTCCGGAAACGTTTTTTATGACCGGAACCGGATTTTGGCAAAGAAAGAGGAGCAATCTCAATCGGAACTTCCGGAAGCTATTTTTTGTCGTTTTCGATTTTTCGTAGTTTTTGGCTTCTGCTTACCTTTCAGAGTGTCAGCCAGCAGAGATCCTTAAGGAATTCAAAGATTCCTGAAATTTGGGCTTTTTGGCATAAGAACTCCCGGAAAGTTTTTTGGAGTTTCGGGTTTTTCTTAGAACTGTTGCCTTCAACGACCCTTTAACAAGGTGATCACTGACAAGGCCATCGCTCCTATAAAATGCTAATTTTCTCTACTTCACTGCCCCTTTAAACTGTTGAATTTCTAGCTTCACTCTCCCTTTAAACTCAAGGCTTTGAATTGTTCTCATTTTTGAATACTACTTGAATTTTTTATAACACGGCATAAAAATTATGATTTGCAGCCGTTGCTTCCACTTCGATCCAAATGACACTCCAATTGCCTGTGATCCGATAGACGAGAGAGTGGAGAGTGAGAGAGAAGCAGAAAGGAGAAAAAGACATCAAAATGCTCGGGTCCCTCCATCGGACATTGGCCCTATGTGCTGGTAAGCAAATTATTTTTAAAAAGATTGCAATTACGCTAGAAATTGTACTGTAATTTTGCTTGATGGGTGACAGTACGAAAATATACGCGATTGCACGAATTTTTTTGCTTATTTCGGCGTACGGTAGCCATAGAACTACTGTATCTACTATATGCCAGTATGAAACCTTATCCAATCACGCAACGCAATCTAATTCCGTCGATTTCAGTGCAACTATTCACCCTGACAGCCTCAATCCCAGCCCAAATAGCCCTTGTACACGATCTGCTCGATAAATATGACAAAAAGGGTATGTAAAGAGGTGTAAAACGGAATTATCAGTTTCTCATTTTAGCGAAGCCAGTCTGGGACAATAATTCCTCAATTAACGTCTCATTTTCGATGGATTTGTATCAGATTCTCGAATTGGTGAGGAACATATGGATACAAAGATTCGAGGGAATTTTTAGAACGAGCCGCAACAATTTATCCTGTTGAATGCTTGGATTATTGAGGTGAGAGAGGAGTGAAAGAGAGAGAGAGAGGAGGAGAGAGAGAAATTCGATGCATCCTGCCTGTTTTGTAGCGTTGGTACGACGAGTTCCTCTACTGGGACCCGGATGAATACGGTAACATCACAGAAATCCGATTGCCCCACGATTCGATATGGATACCCGACACTACACTTTACAACAGGTAAAATGAACCTTATTCTTCTGTTTTCGGGTCCACTGACAGTCAGTCAACTCGTCAAACTGTCAAAAACTGCGTTATTGTAATAGATACCTATATTTTTGGTTAAACTGACCGCCAATTAACCCGTTAAAGCCATTAAAATCTCAGTATTTAGCTTGGTAATGAAAGATGACGACACGAGACGTCTTCTAAATGCGAAGTTGACGACCGATAAGAGGTTGAAAGCGGCGTGGATTGAAATGCTGTACCCGACCATCTATAAATTTTCGTGTCTCCTTAATTTGAGGTATTACTGAGCTTTTAAAACCAAAAACAATTGTTTTTCTTCCAGATTCTTCCCATTTGACAACCAGGTAAGCTTTAGCACATGGCAGTTTGCATGTTTTAATCTTTAAAAAGAGATCTATTCAATTTTACGCTTATTTTTTTGTGTGTTTTATGTCATCTGGCATGCAATCTACCAGGCAAATCTGGCATGCAACGTAAAAAATTAAATAAATTGAATTTTTGAGGTTTGCACGATGACATTCTCATCGTGGACGTACGACCAAAAAGGCATCGATTATTTCCCGTACTCGGAACAACTGGGAACGAGTAATTATCTGGAAAATGAGGGATGGTATATCATGAATACGAAGAGTACGTTATACACCTATTTACCGAGTACGAACTACAATTTAGTCGTGAGGAAAGAGGTGAAATACAGCTGTTGTCCGAACAAGTATACCCTACTCGAATTGACGCTGCATTTACGGTTGGTGCTAGGGAGCTTTGGTTTTTTGTTGGTTTGTCTGTTTGTCTGTCTGTCTGTCTGACACTCCCAATAATTTTAATTATTATTGGTTATCTGACCCGCGATTAATCGACTGAAACTTCAAAAACCGCACTTTTAGCCTGGGCTAGGTTATGCGGTTTTTGGGTTACGGTAACCAGGCGTTATTATTGTTTTTATCACGAGTTTTCATTAAACTGGCGCTCTATTTGTCCTAGGGTAACATTATCTTCGGCATTTTCTGGCGTTCTGGATCACGATTTATCGTATAAACCCTGAAAATCCGCGATTTTCGCCTGGATAGGTTATGCAGTTTTAGTTTTAGTTAGCCGAAGCTGATTTTTTTTCCGGGCTTATCGGCATTTTTGACCAAAGTGGACATAACCCTATCCGAAAATTTTCTTGAAAGGGTCCCTTACCTCTGAATTTGGTTATGCAGTTATTGAAGTCGGGACCGCCAATCTCTCACTATTTGAAACCAAATACCGTAATTACTCAGTTTTTACGCCGGTTTCTTGTCAATTTGTTAGTCTGACCACCAGTTTATCGAGTAATCTATTGAATTTGTAACAAACTACCGTATCACCCAAAAATTTCAGCCGAAAGCCCCTATTCTACCTGGTGAACCTGATCATCCCTACTTCAATCATCACCCTAATCGCGCTGGTCGGATTTTTCACGTAAGATACCTTTATATACTTTGAATTGAACAAAATTTAGTACTTCCTCAGCGTCCGGTATGCGAGAAGAGAAAGTATCTCTCGGTATCACAACCCTTCTCTCGATGTCCATCCTGATGTTGATGGTTTCTGATCAAATGCCTACCACATCCACGTTTATTCCACTTATCGGTGAGCAGCTTGCAGTACAACTTTTGTTCTACAATTTACACGTATAAACTGGCGATCAGCTAACCCAAAAATGACATTTGGCAGGGTCCGATCACTGTTGAAACGTTAAAAACCTCAAAATATCGCAATTTTAGGCTGGTTCATCCTGATGATGATCATGGTGATTTCACTTGGAACGATCGCCTCTTCAGTCATTATTGCCATTCAGAAGAGAGGCCGACTAGGGGAACGGCTCAGCAAGGGAGCCTTACGGTAGGTATTGCACTTGGTTACGCCATGAACAATGGAAAGTACGGAAAATCCCGCATTTTTGCAAAGAAAATCGATTGTGAGCCAGGAATCCGTTTCAAAAAAAGAAAACAGCAAACAAAAATATTGGACCCTGTATACTGTAGATTGAATACCAGATAGTACATTCCATTACTCTGGACACATTCAATCGATTACGACATGAATTTAGATTCGGGAAATGCCTTTCGTACCTGACTTGTATGCCAGTTCCTCAACATCTACTAAAAGAGGAAATGATGGTTAGTTATTTCGATCGATACAGTACCCTATGGTACGCTACAATACGCTACAGTACGTTACAATACTTTGCTACATCCTATTGGAAAAATCACTGAAAATCAAGAAATAATAAAAATGTTACGAAATGGCTGTTTTTCGAAACTTTGGCCCGAATTTTCGTTTTTAGGTTAAATATTGGCGATATTTTATTTTTATTTAATAGATCCATCGCACGTATTTTTTCCGGGTAAGTATACTGTATACGATATTTAATGGATTTACTGTGTTCTCCTCCTAATCATACGGCTTTCTGTGTATCTCCTTCTCGGGCTGTCCCCTACCCCCAATCGATTACAGCAGGAAAGTCGTAAATACTGTCACTTGTTTTCAGACAGAAATGTTCGACTCGCCATCCGTTTCTGTAGCTCCAAGTAAGATTGATGGAAAGGTAGGGGAGGGGGATACGGTAGAAAGAATGTCTTTTAGAAATCGAAGAAACAAGATGGAAAGAAGCAAAAGAATGGCCCTTCTGCCCCTCCACCCGAAAAGGAGAGAAGTCAAGAACCGCTCATTCATCATAGCCCTTCCAATAATACCAGTGGGTTACCGTAAAAAATGCCAATTTTGTCAATTTCAAGCACTTGTTTTTTAAAAATCATTTAAATTTTTAAATTGCAAAATATTCTAAACTGCTATTCAGAAACCAGAAAAATACGCTCAAAAATCCACTTTCAGGTTTTGCTCTTACTGTAGCTAGACTGACAGCCAGAAAACCTAAAAATCTACAACTTACAAAAATCACGCCTTTTTCTAGTAAAATCGGTGCATGTCTATTCTTCGGCGCCGAGAACGGCTAATCGTAAGTAGAAGATGTAGACAGATGGAGAGAGAGAGAGAGAGAGAGAGAGAGAGAGAGAGAAAGAGGGAGTCGATTTCTCCTACTGTAGCCTAACCCCCCACCTCCCTCTCAATTCCTAACCCAGTGCCGTTGCTATGAATTTTCGAGGCGACTTGTTCCTTCTCCCTCTAGGTCTACTGTATAGAATTCTCCATTTTAGATGAAGAAATAGTTGCCTCAACCCCGACAACAACACGACCTGTGCCACCGAATTCACTCAATTTGGATGGGGATGCTGCGTCTATTGATGGTAAGGGATACTGTAGAAAATGGTCTTACCGAAGTTTTCAAGTTTTATCGTATTATCTGCTATGCAGTATATAGGATTGTCTCGGAAAATTGGCGCAAAAAACTTAATTTTGAAAGTCTAAGCGATCATGACATCAAAACCGAAAATATCGGGGTCGAATTAAAAGCGTCGGGCAAAGGTTTTTTGAATATGCCTTGCGGTCAGATAACACAAAACCACCTTTTATCAGTGGCAAGCTAGCAGGGATTCTTCAGGAATTCCTTCATTTTCCAGGAGGCTATGAATTGTTGCTGGAGAACCCGGACTTCCTAGAATTCTACTATGAACAGTGGTGTGGGTCTGAGAGAAGAGAGAGAGAGATCGCATGAGAGAGTGCAGAGAAAGCGAGAGAGAGAGAGAGGGAGAGGGAGAGAGGGAGGGAGGGAGAGAGTGCAGAGAAAGCGGGAGAGTGAATGCAGCCTGACAACCCCTACCGGAAACCCTATCCTCCTCATAAAAAAACTGACAAGGAAATGGTCTCAGCTCGACACCGAGTTTCGATTTGAAAATTTGCACACTGATAGAGCTCGACGAGACGAATCGATTGGTGTAACTTTCAGCTGCCCATACGATAAAATAGCCGAGTTATAAGCATTTTAAGTTTTTGCATACATTTTGCATTTTATTCGCCCTACCTTCATAAGCCCTCCCCGTTCCCCCATCACCGTGGCCTGGTGGCCTAGTGGCGTAGCCGGCGGTGTATGGGGAATCTATTGAAGGTCCGAACCCGCTCACGATTTTTTATTTTTGCTTTTTGGCAAAAATGCTGCCATTGGCGTTCTGAAGGCCTAGAATCTGTTCGCATTCTTTATTTTAACTCTTTCAAGGCGCAGTGACCATAAAACATCTTTTTTTCAGAAATTGGATTTTTGACCCCAAGGGGCATTAACTGTCCCAGCAACAAAATTAAAAATTAAAAATAGAACAAAAGGTTAAGAATCAATATAATTTACGGTGAATGCGTTGTGTGTCAGCAAGCATTGTTCATTGTCGCAATTTTTTTGAAAATGTTGTTCATAGGTTGTTCATAGGTCGAATGTTAAGTTCGGAAATTGTTGATGATGAGGTATTGTGGTCACTGCGCCTTGAAAAAGTTAAAATAAAGAATGCGAACAGATTCTAGGCCTTCAGAACGCCAATGGCAGCATTTTTGCCAAAAAGCAAAAATAGAAACTCGTGAGCGGGTTCGAACCTTCAATAGATTCCCCATACACCACCGGCTACGCCACTAGGCCACCAGGCCACGGTGATGGGGGAAGGGGGAGGGCTTATGAAGGTAGGGCGAACAAAATGCAAAATGCATGCAAAAACTTAAAATGCTTATAACTCGGCTATTTTATCGTATGGGCAGCTGAAAGTTACACCAATCGATTCGTCTCGTCGAGCTCTATCAGTGTGCAAATTTTCAAATTGAAACTCGGTGTCGAGCTGAGACCATCTCCTTGTGAGCATGATCCCTAAAAAATTCTCAGCATGAAGATCCTCCAACTGTCAGCTATCGTACCTAATCTGGCTACAGTAACCCAAAAAATTGTTTCTTTTCAGTATCGATCACAAGCGAAGCTCCATCCTGCCCTCCCTCAGCAAAGACGCCAAAGATGAGGGCGGCACCGAATAATCCGTTCCGACAGGAGGGTCGGTTTTATCTCATTTTAAAGGGACCATGACAGCTAGAATTTTGTAGCTTGTGCCATATTTTATAGCTTCCGGCTATATTTTATTGATTATTATAGTAGCCCAGCACACCCTCCGGAAATACGCGATCGCCGAGTACGAGTGGTTGGCCACGGTGATCGAGCGGCTGTGTTTCGCCATCTTTGTCACTGGTAGGGGGCAGCTGGACTACAAACTACAAATAAAGGCTACAAACTACACTTTTCCATTGATTTCGTATTCTGTAGTCCAAACTACAATGTTTTGGCTTGAATTCGGCAGCATTGACATTTTTGGCAATTTTCTACCGACCACAAACTACAGACTATAAATTCTATCATTTTCCAGCTTTTGCCATCATCACATTCGGGATCAACTTTATCGGCTTCATCCATTGGTATGCCAAAGGAATGGAGGCCATCGACAAATAATGCACCTTCTTACTACCGTACTCTTTTTTCTACCGTATCTATCAGCTCATTATTATTTTCATTATTATCTCCTTCCTTATTTTTAAACAGCTTGCCAATGAACCGATTACGACAGTTATCTCGGCTGTCCGATCCATTCCTAGTCCACTTTCCATCGAATCTCAACGAATTTTTGGAGCCATTTTCGCCAAAAATGTTCTGGTCATGAATTTTTTAATTTTAATTTTCTACTTTTCTGCTTTTTATCATTTGTTTTTGTCTATTCTGCCATACAGTAAAGTGTTTAAAATGTTTCGAATGATTTTTTGTGAATTTCTAAATCGGTTTTTACCGAGTTTACCTCGGTTTTCGACCTCAATTTTGAAAATCCGAATTTAGGTATTTTCATTTTGCTACATTATGATTGTCAGCTCGGCAGTGGCTAGGTGGGTTTAATACCTATCGTAATCGATTAAACTTGTCTATCTTAGGTGATGAAACGGCTCTCTTCAATTTGATGTCCGGCCACTCTCCCCTCCATTTTCTTCTCCTTCTCCTCGGGTTCATCTCCTCGGCATGGTCTGTCGGCGCCCAAATGGCAGGTCAGTAATAGAATAGTTTGAGTATTTTTTTGTTTTCAACGTCTAATCTGCCATTCACTGTACCCATTCCATAACGTAACCGATTAATCTCACACAATCTATTATTTTTAGACTCGTTTATGAACCCTCGTCCAGGTAAATGTGCTCGATTCTTTTTGAGTGGAGTAGTCCATGACTTACCCCATTTGCTGTTTAAATGATTTTAAAATATTTTGTAAATTGTCCAGTGGTGAAAAACCCGTTTTTAAAGCCGTACGTTTCTAGAAACCGTATTATCATTATTCTAGCCTCACGACGATGGCCAAACATGTCGCAGGAGGAGGTGCCGTTGGTGCGGTTGACCAAGGATATTTTTGCGCCGGACAGGTACTGTAGTTTGTAGTTTAACAATTCCGTATCGATAGATTGCATGTCAGATAACGGTTTCTCAATAGTTTAGAAGCTTGCTTTATCCTATTCAAAAAGTTGGAGCGAATTTTTGCAAAAACTGCATAAATGCATAACCGCCGGCCCCAAAAAACTGCATAACCTAAATATGCAGGAATATTTACTTTATTACGTTGTATAGATAAGTTTTATGCCAGAAAATGGCTTCTAAAATTTCCAAAGCTTTATCTATTTTCTACAAAAAGTTCGAGCAATTTGTCGCGAAAACTGCATAACTGCATAACCGAGGACCCGAAAAACTGCACAACCTACGCACATAAAACCCGAAAAACATAGCGATTCTGACAATTTCAGGTACGATATCCGAGTTCGTCCCAAAATGGCACACAACGAAACGATGAAGATATCAATCTCGATGTCTCTATATCAAATCATTGAAGTTGATGAACCATCACAAACTATTAAGTTGAACGTATGGATGATACAGGTAAGAGGGAGAAGAGAAAGTAGAGAACAAGAAAAACATATCAGAAATGGACAGACGAGATGTTATTTTGGGATCCGAGGGAATATGGGATGATCAATAAGACGATATTGCCACATGATTCGCTGTGGATACCCGATACGTATCTGTATAATAGGTACGAGTTTTCGCAGGTTTACGGTATAGAAATTTCATCTTTAATACACTATTTATACAAACTGGTACGCAAAGCTACTATTGCCATCAAAATCTGGGTTCAAATTGGAGTATTTAAGTTAAGCAGTTTTTGGTTATGCTTTTTTTTGGTTATGCAGTTTTTAGCAGAAAACCAAAATGACGGCTCAAAACTTTGGAAAATAGCTAATTGCGTGCCATAAAACTTTGATAAAGTCTAAACTGCTCTGAAAACTGACTAAAAAGCGTATAACTTTTGTATTTTAGTGTCCGCATGGCCCGAGACGAAACGGAACGATATATGAACATTCAAGCCGACACCCTGCATTGGGAGGGGAGGAATGGCAGTAATATGTCATTTCTGTATCCGGCGATCTATACATTGACCTGCAGATTGAATATACGGTACGTCAGAAGGAATTACGGTATGTAAAATGTTTAGATACTTCCCGTACGATCAGCAAAATTGCACCCTAACGATCTCATCGTGGACCAACAGCAAATCGGCGTTAGATTATTATGCTGATCCGGCGGTAAGTTAATGGACAGAAAGAGAGACTGACAGACAAATAGACAAACTGACGCACAAACAACCGATTACGTCATGTATTTCATAACCAATCTGTCAAATTCCAGGTTGACCTCCAATTCTTTATCCCGAACGAGGAATGGGATGTGATATCCTTCAAAATCTACCGGCATGAGGTAAGAAATATATTAAATAGCTTTTCTGGCTGCCAATTAAAGTATTTACGCTAAAGTTTCCAGTACAAATACGCGTGTTGCCCGGAGCCATGGGTAATCCTGCAAGCATCACTTGTCATCCGGAGAAAACCGCTGTATTACGTCGTGAATCTGATAATTCCGACATCAATCATCACTATTGTATCAATTACTGGATTCTTTACACCGGCCAGTACTGATGATGATAGAAAGGAGAAGATCAATCTTGGTATGTTGAATTTTATGAGCCGAATTTTTCAAATCCTCCAATTTGGCTCGCCCTTTCATGAAAAAGATTTTTTCCTAATTTAACAAATAATTTAGCGATTTTGTGATTTTTGTTTAATCGTACCAATACCTTTTGTGCCCTCCACTAATTTTATTTAAGGTATCACCACCCTCCTTGCGATGTCCATCTTGATGTTGATGGTATCGGATGCAATGCCAACCACCTCAGAATTTGTCCCTCTAATCGCTTGGTTCTATCTATCGATTATAATAATTGTGTCGATTGGAACATTCCTCACCTCAATTGTTCTCTCCATCCAGGGAAGAAGGCAATATGGCAATAATCCTCCAGTATTTGTCAGGTGGGTCGAAAAACCGCATAATTTGTGGAATACGGTAGTTTATAAAACCACATAACTTAAAGTATAATCAAATCGCCTTGTTTTTGTCAAAAAAAAGTTGCCAGTGTGTTTTTGCAGCCAGCTAGTAGAAATCGAAAAACTGCATAAGCTGAAATGGGCCAAAAACTCAGAAACCTCGCGGAAATCTGATCAAGTGCTTGCCAAATATTAACTCAAAAAACGACATACCTCAAAAACTATCGTAACCGTATTGTTTTTGGCGTATAGTATTTATCGACTAGCAATTAAGAAAGACCGAAAAGGAAAAATTCAGATATTGGTTCTTCGGGTTCCTGCGTGCCGTTTTCTGGTGTGACGTGCCACCACCCTTACGGAAGCTGTGGGAGGACTTGGATGTAAGAAACTAAAAGTACTCTTTGATTTATTAAATTCCAGGACCACCCTCGTGACGCTTGGAAAAATCGGAATGGCGTGCGGATGGTGGATAAGAAAATTGGCACCAATGGGAGCTTCTTGGTGCCGAAGGAGACGAATAAACATCAGCCCGTACAGACAAGGTATGAGAAACTTGAAAAAAATCGAAAAGTACGTACAAATTTTTGATTTAACGTTTCTATTAGTTTAACTGAAGGGCAGTTTTTAATTTTAAAAAGTTTTGAGCTACAAATTATTTCAATTTTTCCAGAATATCAGAAAACAGCCTTCGTGTGCCTGGGTCTGCCTCGTCAACCACTCAACCAATCGACAAACGCCATTCGATACAAATGATTGGTAGGGGTAGAAAACACAGACTACACACTAAAGACCACAAAAACACCTGTTTTGTGAAAATCACTCAAAACTCCCAATTTATCGTATTTTTTACAAAATTGTCGACTGAATTGCAAAAACTACATAACTCTGTGCATGGCTTATTTTCCGTTTCTGAACCTATCTCAAACCTTCAATTAATTTATTGATCCACTCACAGCATATTACGGGCATTGTGACGGCCCAATTTCAGATGTGTCAAACACGACAACTCCCGCCGCCACGGGGCGCACAAGCCGCCGAGGCTCGAATCTATGGGAAAATGCTGTGACGACCGTACTCGGTACACCCATTTACACTCGGCGCAGCACCAATGTAGCATGGAGGATTATTTTAGCACTCGGAAATTGGTAGCTGGCACTCACCGAAACGATTCGAAGGCTCCACAGTTTTGGAAATGAAATTGTTTTTCAAAAACTGCATAACCGCGCTTTAATCGCATAACCTCATAAAAACTGCAACCGGAAACTAGCACTTGCTTACCGGGCTGGAATTAGCTAATTGGCGCCCAGAAACCCATTAACCCATTTGAAGTCTTCCGACGCCCCAAAATTACACAATTTTCGAAAAACTGCATCCCCTTGGTGAAAACTGCATAACCTGCATAACCGCATAAGTGCATCTGTTGAGTTTTCAAAAAGCAGAAACTCCATCTCCTTCCCATCCAATAAGCTGATATTGCATCGAAAAATACACTAAAAATCTGTCTAACCCGAATTTTCCTAATTTCTATCAACTCTATGCATGCCCCTGTCGCAGGCCCTTTAGAATCAGGAGCCCATATCTTTCTGCCTAAAAAATTCAATTTTTTAGCCTCTCGCTCAACATCCCGTCGCTCATCCGTCTTCCCGCAAAACAAAGAACTCGACAGTATGCGCCGCTCCAGGCAGTGCTCGTTGGAATGGGAATTTTTGGCTACGGTGGGTCGTGGGAAATGTAAAACGGGAAATTTTGGGTATTTATGCCAAACTGGCATAAATAGGCAATTTTAGAATAGTCTTAACTTTCGAAAGTTGATGTTTAAGTTATGCAGTTTTTTGGAACTGACCTAAAATGACCTAACCTTGACTTAGCGATCAACAAATAATTAGCTTCACCTTTTAATGGTTAAATTGCCAGGTACTCGACCGGATCCTGCTCGTCCTCTTCGTCTTGGCCGTCATCCTCGTCACTTCCGGCGTCTTTGTCGTTGGCCATATGGCCCAGCTGAGCTACGATCTGCATAAGGACTAATTCGTCATTTTTGAGAGTTTTGTAATTTTCCTGTTACTCCCGATATCTCATCTGCCATCCACCCGGTACGGTATTATACTCTATATCCGATTTGCTGTCTGCTCTCTATCTCTCTCTGTCACTCTCCTCTCTCCTACCCCTGCTCATCCCATCACATATATTTTGCCTGTTCATCTCCATTATTTTGGTGTTTATTTGTATCTTTTTTGTTTGGTTGTCTTGCCTCGTATATTATTCCGATTCTCAATATCGTTATTTTTTTATTGGTTTCTGCATTTTTGATAAAATATTTTTTAACGGCTACGTGACTTAAATTTTGCAGAAAATTCAACTTGTTGCAAAAACACCCTCCAATCGAGCGTTTTCGGTAAACAAAAATCCATTCTGGCGGCCGGGTAAACCGGAAACGGCAAGAGTTCCACTTTAAAAGGCAAGGCTTTTCTCTAGTTGAATGAGGGGAAATTGCATAGAGTAGAAAGGGCCATTCGGTACCCTAAAAAGACGGAATGTTGGCACGTGGTGGAGAGCGAGAGAAAGAGAGAGAGAGAGAGAGAGAGAGAGAGAGGGAGTGAGAGAGAGAAAGGGGACCCATGTGGGTGGATGATGGTTTCGATGATGGAAGAGGTCGGGCGGATGGCAGGAGGTTCATTTGAACACTTTTAGGACGTTGGTCTCCCGGCAGTTGGATCTGCAAGCACTTCCGGTTCTCGTCATTTTGTACTGCGTCGTCCAGTTTGTAGTTTGAAGCATATTTTGAGTTGTCTAGTCCCTTAATATCCTCGTCGCCGAAAGCTTTCGTAGACAATTCTGGCGTTTACTAGATATTCTTGCGTTTTCTCTCTCTCTCTCCTCTTCAATGTTTCATGTGGCAGTTAGAAGACGTCGTCCGCGTCTCGCCCCCAATTTGCCCCTTTTAGCCCCTCACCACGACCCACCGTTTATCGAGGCTCAAAAACCTTCCCATGTTTCGCACCTTTTAAGACCTCTCAAATCGGCGTGTTTTTCATATTCCAGGCCCACACCCATATTCCTTCATCTTCCATTGTTTTGGCCGTGTTGTTTTTGGGCTACTCACCTAGGCATAGAGCGGGTGAAGTCGAGCAGAATGCGTAACCTTTTTCTCCTCTGGTTTTCTCTTCCGCTTCCCACGCATTTGCATTGAAAAGCTTCGAGTTGTTATTTAATTGTTAAAATGGGCCACTCACGAACTTCGAAAACTGGTCCCTGAAGAACTGCATAACTGCATAACCTTAAAAAGCAGCATAACTATCACAAATTGCATAACCATCAAAAGCTGCATAACCCGCATGGGACTCGAAATCCCACCCGTAGAGCCAGATTTTCTCTGAAACCTACGATCTGTCAGTCGCTTTTCCAGCTAGAAGCGTTATTATAGAATTTGGGCGCGACCCCTGAAAAAAACTGCATAACCTTCAAAAAACTGCATAACCTGCATAACCTTTCAAAAGCCTAAAATCACCGTTAGAATCCAAATTCCACTTTCCCGTCCGTCAATTTTATATTACGAATGGAATGGGGGAGCATGGGCTGTACCCAGCCCCTCTAAGAACTTATTGCCTTCAGATGGCAGGTGTTCTCTTGATGGGGAGTCTTTCTGAAGACCTGCTGACTGCCACCCTATCACGTGACATTTTCTCGAAAATTCTTTCTTTTATAAACCCTCCATGATACTTCTTTAGGCTATACTCTTTCTGGCAGACAGAGAGAGACAGACAGACAGACAAACGCCCCAATTTCCAGTAGTTCTGCTTTTTCGTTAGCTCCAATTGACGGGGGACGTCGACATGAGAAGGGGCCTCATCACCCGGAGGACCCTAAAAACTATGCCCTTCATAAGTGAGGCTCTGCTGGAAGACAGAGAGACAGATGAACTAACGTATAGACAGACAGACAGACAGACAGACAGACAGACAGACAGAAAGACAGACAGGGTCGAGAACAATTTGGGGAAAAGCCCCTTTCTCTTCCGGGCCATGTGCCCTCTGCCCCTTTCTTCTATTTCTTCTGGGCCCACTAAAAACTAGTAGAAAGCGATTTTGGACACAGCCTTCTGCTCTTTTGTTCCTCCTTTTTGGGGTTAAAGCTGGCCCGCTCATATTTTAAGGATTTTACAGCTTTTTAAAGCGCTTCTTGCCAACCAGTTTACACGCTCCATTCATAGGGGGCCAATTCAGGGGGCGCCAAAGTCTTTTGTTTATGGCCACACTAGTTTGAGGGGGGGCTTTAGGGCCAAAAAGAGAAAAGCTGCAGGGTTTTCCTTGCTCTTTTGTGGGATTTCTCAGCTAATTGGCGTTCAGGGAGGCTAAATAAAATTTTAAATAATTCTTCGAGCTTTAACATGGTTATGCAGTTTTTATGTTAGTTTGAATTGTGTTATGCAGCTTTTTCAATCGCGCTATCTGGCTGACGATGAAGGTATCTAAGTACTAATGAGGTTTTTCCGGCTAGTTCGCATACAAGGCTGCTAAATAAATTACCGAAATCATTTGTCCAGCTTTAACCTGGTTATGCAGTTTTTTGAATCCGTGATCTGGCTGACAATTGAGGCGTTATTGGAGTAGAACTGACCCTATTGCGCTAAAAACTTGCAAAACCCTGCGACATCGAGTTTCAAATTCCAACTCGATCGTTTTCATGCGTTTCCATTCCACTCAACTGCATTTCATCCACCACATCCCCCTAGGGTCCCTCCCTCTACCGCCCCCAACCAACATTTTCCACTCGATTTGACGGGGTTTCCGTGAGAAGTGTGGCAACCCGGCAACCTTTTTCATCCCTTCTGACTGACTTACCGCCCCCACACCACGGCGGCTCATGCCGATTAATTCGTTTTCCAGACTTCTCGATAGTTTTTGAGCTTTCTGAGTTAAAAATAGAAATACTTTCAACTAGAACAAAATTGATTAGCACACCACTTCGAGTTTTTACGTCACGCAGGTTATGCAGTTTTTCGATTTGTTCGGTGCTTGGGGCATCAGGTGCAAAAAATTAAAATGTTTGCCGTTTTTAGGCTTATGCAGGTTATGCAGTTTTTGACCTGACAGACGCTAGGGTACGTAAAAAAAACAGAATAAGATTTTATCTTCGGTTTTACGTTATGCAGGTTATGCCGTTTTTCGGGTTGGCTGTCACACGGGCTAGAAATAAGGGCAATAGCCTCTCATCACACGTTTTACGGTTGTGCAGTTTTTTCATATACCATCCAGTTATACAATTTTTAGTATCCGAGTCTTTTTCGAGCTCTAGAAAGCCCCAAATCGATGTTACGCTGGTCAGAATTAGAGATGTTAAGAATCAATTAACAATCAAGATTATTTGCAGATAGTGGCACAATATTATTTTATTTGGATGGAGCTGAACGCATTACCAAGTAAAATAATATTATTTGACTCCGCTAGAGAAAGAACCAAGTAAGATTACTTGATTTACTTGATTTACTTGATCAAACAATAGCTTTCTGGAATTCTGGCATTTTTCGGATGGTAATGAACTTTATGACATGATCGCATGCTAATTTACTGGGTTCGCGGCACGATTGCCTGATTTGCATTGCAAATTTGCACAAAATCAAGTAATTTCGCTGAAAATCAAGTAATTCTCCCAAATCAATCAAGATCAAGTAAATCAATTAATTTTATTTTACTTGATGTTTATTCAAGCAAACGGCGTAAAATAATTTTATAGTTACTTGAAAAAATTTCAGATGCAAATAAAGTTGTTCAAGCAAATTTACTTGGTCATTATGTTACTTGATTCGTAACATCTCTAGTCAGAATGATGCCAAAATCAAGCTTCTGCTTTTAAAAACAACCACCCTCGCCACTTTCGTGCCAAAAAAAATCCATGCAAATCAGATGGTCGTTTCCTAGTTTTCCCGTTCCGCTCTCCCGGATGTTTTCTTCCCCGTGAAAAAAGAGACATTTGTGTGTGCCGGTTGGTCTAAAAAGCCGACAATTTACGGGGTAGAGAGGAGAAACGGGCCATGAGGAAAGGAGAGTAATACGATGGGGTCCTATTTACGCGACGGGCAGAAGACGTCCCCTTCTGTCGTTTCTTGGAGGGATAGCCTCCTGTGGCTTCTGGCTCATTTTCCTCCCCCCTCCTCCTCTCCATTCCATCCAAATGCCCTGAGGTCATCTCCGATTCTCGGTCTCGGGCCGGCCACCAAAAAAACACAAGCCATCCCCCTTCTGGGGCGTCGTCCCATTGTTTCACGAGTTCAGAGGTCCATTCACAATTCAAAAACCAAAGTTTACGAATTGGAGGTTATTTTTGGGATTTTTGGATGGCAGGGATGCTGTATGAAAGTTCCAAGAGCTTAGCCAATCAATTTATGCGAGTTGGGATCCAGGTTATGCAGTTTTTTGCTACTTGCTCGGGAAAATTCTTCAATACTTTTTATCGATGAAATCGAAGTTTACGAATTTGGAGGTTATTTTTGGGCTAGCTGGCTTGCAGGGAAGCTTGAGGGCACATTAAAAGGCCAAAATAATTTTGCTAGTTGAAAGGATGGTTATGCAGTTTTTTTGGCGCAGCTCAGGAAAGGACCTTTCCGGTAGTCGTCTGTCCCATAAAACCAAATGTTTCAAATTCCAAATTGTTTTTGGACTTACTGCCTTGCAGAGAAGCTTTGGGAAGCTTCGAATAATCTTGAACATTTAAGCTAGTCGAAGTACAAGTTATGCCGTTTTTGCTATTGTGCCGCTAAATCACCTCTACGACGCTTTCTGCCCGATAAAACCTAATTTTTCAAACTCGAAAGCTATTTTTGGACTTATTGACTTGCAGAGAAACTATAGGATGTTTCAAATCATCGAAAAAATTAAAACTAGCTGAGATCCAAGTTATGCAGTTTTTGCTACCTGATCCCAAATACACCTGGCCAATGCTTCAGCAGAATTCCTGATTTGCAATTAGCGCTAAATCCTAAGGACCGGATGCTGTTGGCTTTCCGGGTTTCGCCATACTTAATACAGCTGTACTACGATACAGCTGGCGCACCTGTATCGCGCTTAGAAAATATTATTGTTTTTCTGGAGGTAAAACTACACAGCCAATTTTGTAATATTGACGTTCTCAATGCTGAGCTTAGGCATTATTCCGGGGCACACTGCCATGCAGTACACCTGTTCCATTCTTTTTGCAGACTGCCCGATTTGTGATCTTCGTAAAAAGTAGCCATTCGTATGAAGTGGACTGGCTACATCCCCTTTCCCCCCCCCTTCTTTACCCATTGTTCACGGCCATTCCATTCTGCAATCTTTGCCGCCGTGCTTTGCTCGAAATGCACCAAAAAACAAGGAATGTTCCTTCCTGGTACCTAATAGCACGTTTGTTCTGAAACCTTGAATTTTTAGGCGCTTTTTGTATTTTGGCTAGCAATTGACGTTATTTTAAAAACTGCATAACTCAAACCTTCATCCTAAAGTAAGGTCGTCAGTTTTAGAATGTTTTCTGGCCGCCATAAAGTTTAGAAAAGTAAAAATACGCTAATTTGTATTTGGCCGTGGGTACGACACTTTTAAAGTGTTTCCTAGATGTTTGAACGCCTAAATACCCTGAAACTTTTGGTCTAACAGCAATAGTCGAAACATTTTAAAAAACTGCATAACTTAAATTTTGAACCGGCGAGAAAGCCAATGCTTTTAAAGAGCTTTATGGTTTCCAGAAAACTCAAAACAACAGTTTTGGAACGAAAATTTTCCGCGATCGCAAAAAATAGTGATCCTGTGCTGCTCAGCCGCGCCCACGGGTGCCAATTTGATAGTATCGCCTTGTTTCTTCTTCCCTCCAGCTCAGCTTCTCCCCCTCCCACGTAATGGGATAAACTTTACGATGGCACTTCCGGTGGTCAGGAGCAAGAGCGCAAACTGGGGGACCGAACCCCTAATTTCGTTTTTTGTTTCCAGTTTTTTTGGTATGGCCCGCCAAGGAAAGGGATAGGCCCTACTTTGGAACATCACGGAAGAGATGGGCCAAAAAGGGCAGAATGTCATGAATCGGGATTAGACCGCACCTCACAACTCCAGCTTTTCTGCTTTCCGTTTCCGGGGATCATGGCGTTCACCTATTTGCTTCCGGTGGGCGCCAATCCGAAAAACTGCATAACCCATTTTTGGCCAGCGGGGCTGTAGATTCCGTTTGTTACGCTAGAACGCCTGCCAGTTATGCGAGGAAAGGACATGAGAAAACTGCATAACTTATTTTGTAGCTTGCGAGTCGGATTTTGAATTTTATCTATTGCCCTCTAGCCAGTTAGAAGGAAACGAAAAATAAAATTTCCGGTAAAAGCTATTTTGCTCGATTTTTTGGATTATCCGAAAAACTGCATAACTAATCTTTGTAGCTTGCAGTCTATATTTTTGTTAATTTATGTATAACTTCCGCCAGTAATACATATTTCAATGTTTGAACCTCAAAAACCTAGAACCCGATCTTCATTGTTATAAAATTCCCAGAAAATTGCATTTTTTGGGCTCGAGCTCCAGAAAGCGTCATTGTCGGCATTTCTTTGAGTGCCAGCTAGGGCAAGAAAGGGAGTCGAATCCACTCTATCCCTCTCCTCTTCCTCTCGTAAATAAAATCATATTCTCTGGTCAATTTGTGCCGCGCTCTCCCTTCTCCAGTATCTTTTCCGAGATTTGGTCATAAGGCTCTATTCATCCAGAATGTTTCTTTATATCTATTATTTATTTAATATAATTATTTGATATATTTATTTGTTTCATCTTACTGTAATCCATAGAAAATAATATAGTTTTTGCCCTTTAAAAATTGTCTTCCTCTGGTTACGCAGGTTATGCAGTTTATGCAGTTTTCCATTCCAGGCCCCACCCTACCTCGCTATGATAATACGGATATGTTATCTGATAACCACACTGTATACCGTGGTGGCCAGAAGCACATATGGTGCCCTTAAAATCATTTTTTCTAAGTTAATGATTTATTTAGACGCCCCTCCAGATCACTATCGAATCCTGGACGACATTTTTGAGCGTTACAACCGGGAATTGATCCCGAAGAAGAAGCAAAATGAGTCGGTTCATATCTATTTTTCCATGGAATTGTATCAGATTATCGAAGTGGTGAGTGAAAACTAAAAAAAAAATGCTAAAAAATATGTTTTAGAATGAGCCGCAGCAGTATTTGATGCTGAATGCATGGATTGTCGAGGTAAATTATAGTTTGTAGTTTCAGCAGGCTTTTCGATAGATTTTAAGGGATTTAATTCAAACTGTTTATCAGTAAATTTAAATATTAATCTTAGCGGTGGTACGACAAATTATTACGCTGGAATCCGAGGGATTTCGGCAACGTCTCCGAGATAATGGTGCCGCATCATCGTATCTGGCTGCCAGACACCACGCTTTACAACAGGTAAGGTAATTTTAATAACTTCTCCACCTTTCTGGATGGCAAAATACAGTATGGCTCCGTTTTTAGTCTGGTGATGGAAGACCGTGATACTCGACGTCTTCTCAATGCCAAACTGACCACCGGCCCGAAGGGTGCCTACATTGAGCTCCTATATCCGACAATATACAAACTGAGTTGCAACCTGGATTTGAGGTTTGTCTAACTGGGTAGCCGGCTGTATTTTAGAGTTTTTGAAATTTTGTTAGAACCTCTGGTCGTTGGTATTTTGGTTATGCAATTTTCGGCCAACTGATCTTAAAGTCATATTTTGGAGTTTATAGCTTGTCCTAGAACGACTGTCTATTGCCGTTTTGAGTTATACAGTTTTCGTCTAACGGACCATCAAGCTATATTTAGGAATTCGTAGATTTTTGCTTTTCCTTCTGCCCGTTGCTCGTCGCGTTATGCAGTTTTTCTTTACCTGACCCCTAAGCCGTGTTTTCGAATTTGCGCCAGTTTGTTAGTCCATCTGAACATTGCTCTATACGTTATGCAGTTTTTATTCAACTGTCGATCAAGCTGTATTTCGGAATTTGAAACAATCTATTAGGCTAGCTATCTTTGAATCTACAGTTATGCAGTTTTTTATTTCACGATATTCTTTATCGAGTTATGCAGTTTCCACCCTTCAGATTCTTCCCGTTCGACATCCAAGTATGCAAGCTAATATTCGGCAGTTGGACATTCGATAATACCTATATTGACTATCATCCCTATAATGCCCAATTGGCCATCGGTACTACGAATTGTATCGAGAATGAGGGGTGGTGGGTCATTGGGACAAGTGGTACGTTATAATACCAATTAAACGTTTACTTTTTATTTTTTAGTAACCAGAAGGGTGGAAAAATACGCTTGTTGCCCAAATAATTATACGCTACTCGATTTCTACCTTCATATACAGCGAAAACCTCTCTATTACGTGATTAACCTAATTACTCCAACGTCTATTATTACGATTATATCGATTGTGGGATTTTTCAGGTATTAATAACAATACCATAATCTTTATTCATTTAGCTGTTCATCAATTAATGAATTACGCGAGGAAAAGATTTCTCTCGGGATCACGACGCTGTTATCGATGTCAATCTTAATATTTATGGTGTCAGACAAGATGCCTTCTACTTCGTCGTTCATACCCTTGATTGGTTGGTGAATTGTTTCTCGTTTTATCTGTCTGTTTATCTGTTTGTCTGTCTCTCGTTCTGACAGTCTGTCTGGCTGTAGAAAATGCGATTTGTCGGCAACGCCGCTTAAAATCATCCGTTCTATAGTTATGCAGTTTTGCGAAAATTCTTAATTTTTAGGCTGGTTCTACACGTGTATGATATTGTTAATATCATTATCCACCCTTCTGTCATCCGTGATAATCTACATTCAGAAGCAGGGAATATTGGGGAAACCGCCAAGGAATGGTAGGTTATGCAGTTTTCAAAACTTTTCTGAAAATCGGTGAAAATCAGCGTTTCTGGAGAATGCCAAGCAGTTTATCGCTTAATTTGGTAGCCAATTAAGCCAAAATTTCCCAACTGTCGCCACTCCTTTAAAAGCCTTATTTTTAGAAGTGATGCGATACGCGAGAGTTGTCGGGAGATTCGTCCGGATGGAACTTCCGCTTTTAATGCGTCAAGCCTACGCACAGAAGGCACGAGTGGGCTGCTTTCCATTTCTTTTCTTACTGTCTAACTCCTGATATTTCTATACTGACCATTACATGTCGTGTGCGAATAGATAGACTGCATGACGGGCTACAAAAAACAACCAAATTTTCAGGAAGATCGTCTCCGGAAGACGCAACGTGCCCGTAAAGAGACAATGTGGCAGAAAGTATACAAACTGTCCAAGGTCTCCTCTCCTCTTACTTTCAAAAAGACGTTACAACCCAATGTAAGGGGGTTCGAGAATGGAATTGAATGGAATTGAATGGAGTGGAATGTGGAACGGGGATCGGGGGATCAAGCTCGGGTGATGCAGTTTTCCTAAAAATCACTCTATCTCGTTGCTATCGTTCTGAAAGCGTGACGGCTTATTAAATTTAGGATTCTGACACCCAATGACCATTAATAGACGAATTACCTTTTGATGACGACATGCGTTATGCAGTTTTTCAAACAGCCGATTTTTGACCAGTTTGAGCCAAGCGATAAGCATAGATGTAGATCGATCGATATTGGGCGGGAAGGGTCCAGGTTATGCAGTTTTTCATACAAATTATTCTCCGATAGTTAAAGTTTCTCGGCAAATTCTTCTATTGAAGAAATTTACGGTTCTGCCACGCAACTGTCATTTTGAGCTGAAAATTATAGGCTCCGGATGGCAAAATGTATTATGCAGTTTTCCAAAATTCGCATTTTTTGAGCGGCGGCTGCTCGAAATTCAATTGCACGCCGGGATTACTTTTTCTGCATGGCAATAAGCAATTTAATAAGTTTTTCCGTTTATTTCGGTGCACTAATAGGTTATGCAGTTTTTCAAACCCTGATCCCTGTCGATCCCCCGATCCCCTACCCGCTCCCAGCTTGCCTTTTTGCCCTCACATTTTTGCTTCTTCTTTGCGAATGGTTGACAGTTTTAATACAGAAAATGTTATACTTAGAAAATTATACAATTTAGTCGCACTCGCAGCCGAAACATCTCAATAAGCTGGGCGATGAAGAAAATGGGGAGCTACCACAAGAAAAACCAAGGAAAGGCATCAACATCAGCCAAGAAGTCCTCAAAATAAGTGAGTTTCACGGTGTTATTTATTATTTCCGTTTGCTTGCCATCCAGTTTGGTGAATTTAACATCGTAATCAATTTAATTTTGCATGTTTTTAACCCATCTACCTTTACAAAGTTTTATAGTCATTTCAGACGGTACAAACGGAGTGCCAGAATATACTCCAATGGGGGATGTTGATCAGGATGATGATACCGGATATATTGATGGCATGGTGAGGGAAATACCTTGCGTAATTGGATATTCATATCGTGATTGGATATACCTAATGGAAAACAGCATTTTATTTTGATTTTTTTTTGAAGTTTCAGCTATCGTAGCGCGTTGAATTCGTCATTTCTAAACGCATTTTATGATGTAATCTATTAAACCGATTTTTAGGAAGACGTTGACTTACCGCCCTCGAAATTCCTCCACAAAACGAGCACATCCCAGTCGATTGACAGCGCGCTGCGGCTGGGCGTCAATCTGGAACGTAAGCCACTTCACTGGTCCTTTAAAATAAGAAATATTTTAGTTTTATGGCCTTTGCATGACAGTATCCCAATTCCAGCGGCGGCCCCACGAACACCACGGAATTTAGCGGAGTTGGAGTACGACTGGCTGGCGGCCGTAGTTGAACGGGTAGGTTTGAGTCGAGAGGTTATCCAGTTACGCAATTAAATTACTCAAAATAGTATTAGCGCGTAGTCTGCATGACAGTATGTCCTTTTATATGAAAATTCGGAAAGTGAAACAGCGTTTATCCAGATTTCCAGAATTTTTTGAAAACATTAGGTTACGCCATGTAATCCATTTCAGGTGTGCCTGATCGTGTTCACGTTCTGCTGGGTGTTGATGACATTCGGCATCAATTCGATTGGCGTCTATTATTGGGCATCTGCTCGTGTCAATTGATGAGACGACAAACTACAGTACCCGAAGAGAGACTACAACGACGGAGCGAGGCGAAACTACGGGACCAACCGATAATCAATTCTCTCAAATTTTCTTTGTAAACACGAGCTTCTCTGATACGGGATTTTCACAACGACGGCCATTTTTTAATAATATTATTATTGTTCGTGTATATATTTTGCTATTGGAATATTTGATGGTGAAATAAATGTATTATTTAAATTTTAAAAAGGCAAAAACTGTGATAAACTATAGTTTTTGAAAGTTGGTTATGCAGTTTAGCTTTTCTGACCGGTAATCTCAATTTTCAAACGGACTGTCGAGAAAAATATCGAAGATTTGAGTTATGCAGTTTTTCGCCTTTGTCTGCTGAAATGCGAGTTTTTACTTAAAATTTTCAGATATTTATTTTCGACTTATAGTTGTAAAGTTGCGCTCTCTGGCTGTTAAACTAACGATTTAAGTATTTTCTGGTGAAAAACAAAGCTCATTTAAGTTATGCAGTTTTTACGCCCGCTATCTGTTACCAGGTCTTTTAGTGGTCATAAAATCAGTAATCGTCGGAAAACTAGGTTATGCAGTTTTCTGTTTTCCACAAATCCCGATCCCCCATTTTCGCGAGTAACTACTGCTTCGATGCTCTGTATGGAGATCATAAAATTGTTTGTGAGGGGGGATAGAAAAGGGTCAGTGGGGGGATACCCATTCCACCCCTCGACCTTCCCCCCTAGAGAGAGACCGGAGGGGCAATTATACGACACGAGCCAGTGTGCACCGGATTACCCATAGCCTCTGTTCTTCTCTCTCGCTATATGCCCTACGGTCACTCTCATTATGCATACCCCACTCTCAACACCCACACATACAGACAGACAGACGGACGGACTGACTGACAGAGAGACGAACAGACAGACGGACAGACGTATTCTGGCATCCAAATGATATGACAGTGTTCAAATCAACTAAAATAACGTGTAAGGTCCAGTTATCTGACGCGGCTAAAATCGCTAATCACACGTAATTCTTAAAGGGAGCGTGACAGCAGGCTAATTGTAGTTCAGAAAGACTAACTGGCATCTGCACCGTCGTTTTGTGGCACGATCCATTAAAAAAAAATCCCACCGCGAGGTTATGCAGTTTTTGGCCCACGAAAAACTGCATAACTGCATAACCGAACAAATGGCTTTCGGCCAGTTCCAGTGATCGGATTCGAGTTGGTGCATCCCAGAAAGTGTCAAAATACCGAAAAATCTAAAATTTAACGGGAACGTGCCAGCTGCCTCATTTCAAGAGTACAGGCCAAATTGGTTGGTTCTTTTCTAAATCCATCCATAACGGTTTTATCTGTGTTACTAAAGAGGTTATGCAGTTTTCTGATATCCGATTCCTACATCTACCTCTTGAACCAGTGGCCCCTCCTGCATGGAAATGTCGATAGGGGTATCGTGAGGGTACTGTGAATGGTCCACCCTCATTCATACTTACTCTCTCTCTCTTTCTCTCTCTCTCTCTCTCTCTCTCTCTCTCTCTCTCTTTCTCTCTCCTGTACCCATATCGGGACCCTTTTGATGGCCCCTGAGGGCATCAATGAATGGCTAGGGAGTGAAGGAGAGAGAGAGAGAGAGGGAGAGAGAGAGGGAGAGAGAGGGCGTGAGAGCGATGCAGACAGAGAAATACACATCCATTACCACCACTCAACCCTTCATAAAGAGGGGGATCGAACGTGCGACAGTTCGATAGATGACTGACTGGCCGACAGTCTCTCTGTCTCTATGGCTACGGTCTATTCACAGTCCCTCCCTCTCTCTCTTCCGGTCAGTGGATACCATGAAGGGGTCGAGGGGGGTTTATAGAAAGGTGTCAAATGGATACCCCACAATGGGACATCGAGGGTAGATTAAAGGGGCCGACAATGCGATGAAAATGGCTGGATTTGTGTGGTTTATCGTCTGTAGAAAAATGAAATTATGGATTTTGAAAATTGCTTTGCTTTTTAGCTGCTAACTGATATAAAATGGCTGACCTGTAGTTTGTAGTTTTCGAGCAACCCTGGCAACTTAATTTTTGTCGAAACTGGCAGCCAGTGAGTTCCAATTTTGAAAAAGCCCGTCCCCTGCTGTGCTTTCCAGAATCCTAGTGCAATCCTAGCATGAATTCTATGGCCCGACTATCCATTCGAATGTCGATATGGCCAGTCTCGGTCTCGCCCTCCCCCTTCAATTCATTCAATGGCCATTCCATGCCCTCCAAACGGTCACTCTCTCTCTCTCTCTCTCTCTCTCTCTCTCTCTCTCTCTCTTTCGCTCTCTTTCCCCCCCTTGAAAAGGCCCCTGTCCAAAATGCAAAAACCGTGTGGTGATCGGGTGCATGGATGGTGTCGAGGGGTGAGTGATGCAAAGCCACCTCTTCGCTCACACCCAAAAAAGGGCACCGAGGAGTGGAAAAAAGTGTTGGCTGACGGTCAAGGGGAAGGGCGGAGAGTTTTCTAGCGACCGGATAGATATTTTGATCGGATTGGAGGTTATGCAGTTTTTCTAGGTTATGCAGTTTTTGATAGATCCAAGGTTATGCAGTTTTCAGAAGTTAGGCAGTTTCTTCACGGTTATATGGTTTTTTTGGCGGATTCGAGGTTATGCAGTTTTTGGGATCGACAGAGGTTATGCAGTTTTTTTGCGAGCCAGCTAGCTGTTGCCCGGTTGTTGACAACATTATTTTTACCCCCCCCATGATTCACCACCAGATGTGCCCCCCAAAAGTCTTCACCCTGATTTGCACTCGATCACTGGGCCCTTTGGCTCGAAATTGGCCGACCCTCGGGGGGGGACAGCCGCGGGATGGCAGTTGGCCAACAAGTGACCTCTACTAGCACTAAATCCCACCCTAAATCTCGGGTCAATGCACGAAAAGGCACAAAATAAGATAGATAGGGTTTTTTCTGTCTGGCAAATAATAGATTTCTGCAAAAAAAATATTTGTTGAAAAAATTGATCTCGTGAAATTTTCGGGATTTGATTTTTCGACATATATTCCAAGCCGATCGAAAAAGTTTTCCCTTTTCTATTTTGTATATCAGATCGAAAATGCCTGTAACCAAAGCCCCGGACAGCCGTCTCAAATGGCCTTGTTTTGACGGTTTGGGGATACCCTCTGGGAGCCTAAATTTATTTTCTCCAGCCAGCCTATCCATCCCCGAAAATCAGTGGTTGGCCGGCCAAATGCGTGTTATTTAGGGAAACTACGTGGTAGCCATAGTTACCTGGGCGGATACTGGAGTGTACGGGGGCATCCACGAGTAATTATGCGCCGACAAGGCCGCTAGATAAGTTATGTAGTTTTTTGGAAAATGGCGGCTTTTGAAAAAACTGCATAACGGAAAAACGGGCTGTGGCTGTCGAAAAAGCCTAAAGATTAGGAGAATGGACTGTCAATTGACGAGTTGGGATCATCAGACTTGATTTTTGAAGAGGTTATACAGTTTTTCGGAAAAAAACGTGTATTTTGAAAAAACTGCATAACCTAAAAATGGGCAATGACTCTCAGAAAGCTTAAAGCTCAGAAAACCAGACTGACTGCCAGACTGACTGCCAATTGACCAGTAGGCCGTGACAGACTTGATTTTCTTTGGCGGTTATGCAGTTTTCGAAAGAACGGAGAATTTCTCCAAAAACTGCATAACCCGAAGCTACGGCAAACTACCAAATTTTAGGTTTGCATCTATCTCACCGGATCGTACGTCTAAACGTTATGCAGTTTTTCACAAAAATCCATTTTGGTCCCCAAAGTCCTCTAAACACGTAGTGGTGCATCGTCAGTCAGCCAGACAGCTCTGTGGGGGTTGTTATCGTTGCTTAGAATAACTGACTGGGGCCCGTAGCTTTTCAGTGCATTTCGTCTCTCTCTTGCTCGATTCTTTTGCTTGGGGGAATGTGTTGTTTTGAGGCCCCTCTCTGTGTGGGTCTGTTGTCCTCCGATGGCCCCAGGGGCGAGTTTTGGGCCCAAAGCGAAAACGAATCGCGTGACTCGAAAAGAAGGAGAGGAGGAGGAGTTGTTGATCTGAGAATAAGCGAGTGGGCCGTGTTGCTCAGAATTGGAGATGATCGAGGTTTTTAGGAGAGACAGGGAGTTGAACTGACGGACAAACAGTCACAAAAATCATGTTTGACACATTTTTAAGGGTACTGGGAGCCAAAAAAGTTCATACTGCGATGAATCTGCAAACCATCCTGCGCGTTCCTGAACTTTCGGCCTTGCGATCGTCCTTTTAAAGGTGGACAGACAGCCGAACTGCCTGACAGACCGACAGAAAAATGTGTTCTTGTGCCATTTAAAGGCCCTTGTAAGCCAGAAAATCTACAAATCCAAAATCCGGACAGCCGAACCCAGAAAAGCCATTACCATTGTCGACGGCTCTATTTCAGATTGTTGACTGTGGTTGTTTTGTGGTTAGGGACAGCCCCTTCCTCTTTTTTGGCTGGATGCGCTGCAGAGTTCTTTGTGGAAAGGGAACTTCTGGAGAGAGGGCGGGCCATCATTGAAAAACAACCAAATGCCATGGGTATCACAACAAAAAAGAGCAGGGGAAGGAAGGCAACGCAACACAACTGTTTACGGCCATCCACAGAGAGCGAGGGAGGACCCGGAGAATTTACTCGATTATTAGGTGCTAGATAGCTAATTTTCTGAATTTTTTTGAGCGATGCGGCATACTGGCTGTTAATCTTCTCTTTGAGTAGCATATCGAAGCCAAAAATCACATTTTTGAGCTAATGTAGGTTATGCAGTTTTTCGACCAGTAAAAGTTTTTGGCTGCTCAGTCCCTTTAAAACCAGCTTTCGATGGATTTGGCTATACTGCCAACCAGTCGATCTTGCAACATCAATAAAATAGGGAAATTTAGATTTTTTGAGTTATGCAGCTTATGCAGTTTTTCGATTCTGACCGTGGTTAGGTTTCAGAACCCTTTAAAAAACATACTTTTTAGATTTCGATATGCTGTCAGCCAATGCAATTATCCAATCTAATAAATTAGCACAACACTTAGTTTTCGAGTTATGCAGGTTATGCAGTTTTTCCCCAGGTCCCGAATATTTCGCGGAAATCTCCCCAATTGCATCCCGGGATGGACTTTTTGTGGAGCTGGACTTTCTGGGGGTTGTTTTTCCCATCCGGCCCTTCTCTGGCCCTCCGACTGCACTGTTTTGAGAGGGAGCTTTTCACCCTTCCTTTCACCCCCAGAGCTGCGGCTAATTCTGGGACTCAGCCAGCACGACTCGGGGGCACAATGCCTGGAATACCAAAAAAGAGGAGTGGGCAGGGCTGGGGCATCTGAAAATTCTACTTAAGAACTTGGCTACAATTTTGCGACATTGAGGGTCGAAAAGTGGATTAAAGGGACTGGGAAGTGAGGTGTAAGGCTCCCTTCAAGCTTCTTAAGTGGTCTCTGCTGGTTTGCAAAAACCGCAAAGCCGGCTGTTGTCGGCGACGGTCTATCGGGGATGTCTCAAAGAATTTCTGCTAGTTGACACGCTTCTGGTGAAAATCAGGTGCCGCGCTCCCTTTAAAATTTAAGAATTTTGTGGGTTACTTGGGTTATGCAGTTTTTCATCCAAAATTTTTCTAGCTTGCCGGTCCCTTTAAAATTGACCACCGCCACTCGAAATCGTGTTTTCTTTCGATCTGGAATCCAGACAGGCCTACAAACTTACAAACATCTAGATAGACAGCCAGATAGAGCGCCATACCCTATCCGAAAGCAAAGCCATTCCAGATGTTTTCCGTTGGCTTCAAAGTGAGCGAGCCGTTCTCCCCTCCCTTTGGACTCTATGTTTATCCCTTCCAGCCCCTGCCCCTAGACCCCTAAACAACGAGCCCCCCCTAGCCCCCGGAGATACAGCCATCTGTCCCCCTCCCCCTTGCCATAGCTTCATCTCAATTCCAATGTAGAGAGCGAGAGACAGAGATGCCAGATGGACCGATGCCAGTTTGGCCAGCCACCAACATCATTTAGCCGCAAAACCCCAATATTTTCTTGACTTCTGGCGGGCAGCCAAGCGTTTGCTCATTTTTGGCTTGAGCATGAGCTCAGGCTCAATTTTATGACGGCGCTCTAGCTTTTTCACAGCCATATGGGCGATTGCAACATGGCGATTAATAATCCATTGCTTTCCTGTTTTCTGGCTGCCATCCAAACTATTGCTCACTTTTTGGCTTGAGCTCGGGCTCAATATGTCGACGTTATCCCGTTTTTTGACAGCCATCTGGCCGATTTTTGCAGGAATAGTCCCCCCGCTAAGAAATTTCTCATTTTGTGGCCTGAGCAGGAGCTGCAGCTCATTTTTCTCGGCTTAATGTTGCTTTCTGACACCCATCTACCAGATTGAAGCTTTGAAAATATGCGATTTACGTTATACAGAAATCCTAGAGAGGCGAGATCCGGAAAACGGCATAACCTATAATCGAGTTTTTGGCTCCGGACGTTACTGGAAAAAGTCACCAACCGCCAATTGGCGGGTTTCATTTTCTGATATTTCGGATTCGTTTTCTGACAGCCAACTCAGCTATTGCTCATTCTTCTGACTGAGCATAAGCTCGCTATCAATTTTCTGGGCTTGATCACTCTTTCTGGCTGCGAGCCAAATTTTCCGTTGCAATACTATTCCCTCGAATATGTGTATAGTACAGCAATGTACTCAGAATGAATGTATGAAGGTGCATTGGGTGACAGTTCCCATTATGAATAGACCAGCGAGTACCCCCCGGATATTGGCATGGAATGGTGAGAGGTGTCAGCCAGTGGTTGTGTATGCTGTAAACACTCAATACATCCATATAGACTCGTGTGCCAAGCGGATTGCGGAAATCATGGAAGGGAATTGCTCTCTCACTCTCTCTCGCTCTCTCGCTCTCTCACTGTCTCTCTCTCTCTCAATCTCTCGCTTTCTGTCTATTTGTCTCTCTCTGTCTCTCTCTCTCTCAATCTCTCGCTCTCTGTCTCTTTGTCTCTCTCTGTCTCTCTCTCTCTGTGCCTCTCTCTCTCTCTAAATGTAGTCGAATCGGGGTTTGTTTTGATCTAACTGGGGTCCAACGCCTCCCCCCACAGGAAATTACCAGTCTGCTATAGTCAGCTAGCGGAACCAAAGCCTAAATTAGCCCTCGAGCCCTCTACTGTACGCCACGCTACCCCCCATAGGCAGGTGTTCCCTTCCCGAGATTGGGGCCGCCCTGCATAACCCGACGAAAAGCCGAAGACCAATTTCCTGGCTCTCCATAGGCGAGGCTTTAATCCGAAAATGTGGGGTGGCAGCCAGGAGGGCCAATTAAAGCAGAAAGGGGGTCGGGTTGATAGGTGCTTTACGTACACCTGCGGTGAAGAGGAAAACTGCATAACTCGGAGATCGGTCTGGTGGGGAGGCAGAGGTTTGGAAATACGAGTAGGACTGCCAGATATCCGTTTTATCATAATTTGGGGCAGGCACCGTCTACGGTAGCCTGTAAATGGGTGCATTTCGGAAAACTGCATAACCTGCATAACCCAAAAACCGCGTTTGTGGCTTTGGAAATAGTTAAAACCATACCAAAACCGTCAGCTTAAGGTTTTCAAAAGAAAAACCTCAGTTACCGTGATCCGGTAAATCGTAAATAGGTGTATTCCGGAAATATGCATAACCTAAAAACGCGCTTTTGGCTCCGGAAATTGGTTCAAGAAGCAGATCAACTGTCAGTTTAATGTTTTTCGCTAAAAAATTCAGCTACGGTACCCCATCCTTCCATAAGTAGGCGCAATCCGTACTCTGTCATGCAGTGACCAAAAATCCACCGTATTTTTCCATATGTTTACCCTGCAAACTTTGGAGAGAATCGTGATTTAGAAGTATTGGTTGTCGTTCGTCCCTCTCCGTCCATTTCGAAAGATCTCCTAGGGGACCCGTAAAGGGCCATCCCTCCTCTCTCGTTCCAATCGTCCCCATCAATCTCTGCTAGGTCCCCCTCCTCCTCCTCCTCTTCTTCTTCTATAGAATGGACACAAGGGACACCCCCATGCTGGTCCCATTTCTGGAGATTATCTTCCACAAATAGTCCCTTCCACTAAAAGGTATATAAAAATGGGGAGTGGGATTAGTTTGACTGCGAGGCAAAGAGATGTTTTTGAGAGGGTGGTCCTTTGAATTCGGTCTTCTGGCGGTGAGGGGCCAAGTTGAATCACGAATTTTCGAGGCGCTTCTCAAATGTTTGAAAAACTGCATAACCTGAAAAAGCTCAAAAATCACAGTTTCTGTAGGAATTCCGATGTATCTCTTGACAGAAAAGTTTACTTCGCTGAAAAAAACACAGCAGTCCCCTTCGGTTTTTGATAAACTAGAAAAAAGCGAAAAACTGCATAACTTTGAAGAAGCTGCATAACCTCAAAAAGCTCAAAAGTGGTAATCTGTTGCTGAATCACGGTAGCTTTCTAGTCAGAATAACCAAATACGCTGAAAATAACAGCCGAAATTCGGGTGTTGTTGTACATTTCGTATGCCTTATCAATTCAGTTGTTTCAATCCTGGAATTTCTTCTTGCAGCCCCCATCCAAGAGAATGTCGCCCTTAATTTGTGTCTATCACTGTCGGTTTGTCTGTCTGTTTGTCAGTCTGTCCATGTTGTCAACCAACCAATCTATCTAGTCCTTCCCCCTTCAATTCCATGGTTGACCATTCGCGACACACAACATACACAGATCGATCCCCTCCCCCCTCT